TTCTGAAGCCTGGGCACAAGATGCAGACGTGTCAGTCAGGGATCGCAAGTATGTCAATATCTGGGGGCCAGCAAATTTAGTCCTTTGTGGGTCTTGAGTTCTGCAGCATACTGCCAAAAGGTGCCGGTAGCATGACTTAGCATTTTGATCAAGCTTGTCCAGACTTGAGTTGCATGAGAAAGAATGCTTCCCTGCAGGTTTTGGAGCAATGGCAATGGCGTCTGCTGTATCCCAGTTCTTCAAGAACTTCAACTTTGTTGCATACAGGATTCTTATGAATTTCTTCAGACTTTGGCACTTTGAATTGGCGTGGAACTTGAATGCATGGCAGGGTTTTGTATTAGACTGTTGGAGTCTTTTTCTGCAGAACTGTATTCTCTGCAAACTTAGCTGCTAAAGAGCCTCAAGATATTTTGCTTTCTTTCAAGCTCATTGGGCAGTGGCTCAGTAGCTGCGCTTACTATGCACCAGATTGCAAAGCCCATTAGACCTTCATTCAAATGTTGAATGTTCTGCCAGTTCAGTTCTGTGTCACCCGTTCTCCATGTAACTGTTAGATGGTTCATTGGATTGACAAAGTTTGTCCATGGCAGCTTTCTAAGTTCATATTCTGTACAATGATCAATTCACCGGTGCATGGTACCGATGGCTTCGGCCAACCCAGTTCGATCCTGGGGGTGAATCCAAAATTTCGCTGATTCTTTGTGAGGTGATAAAGCTCTGAAAGCTTCAAAATCATTGCTGGTTGCTTGCCAAGTTTCTGCAGATAACTTCTGGATGAATTGTAATGCTCGGTGCATTGAACATTCTCTCAGATCTATCACAGAGACGCGGTCACAGAGACGCTGTGCACGGTTCCATAGATAGCTTCCGAAGCTGGTGGCAGTACGCAATATATATATAAATGAATGTGGAAGCAGATCAGTGATTGAGTTGAGTCACCTAAGTACTACCTATCAGATGCAGATAAGTTGGTCAGGTGCACTGATAGCAGCAGTCAAACCTAGAAGGAAGCCATGATGTTGAGCTGGCCCCCATTACTCATGCCAATGGCATGAGCATCCTGCCATCCTGGTTGGCTAGGAGACACCTAGAATCAACAAACCTTCTCACGTGCCAGGCTGCAAATTAACGAAACTTCGGACTCGTGCCACAAAACGACAAGCTTCTTGCTGATCTATACCCTCGCCCGGTCCAAGCTGCTTCATCGACCGCTCAGAAGTTTTAGAGAAAGCCTCCGATAACCGTTCGATGCGCACGTTTCTCTGGCGCTCCGTTGCGATGCTTTCATCAATCATTTACTCTTAATGATATGATAGCGGACGGAACGCCAGAATATATCGATTAAACAATTCTTAAATCAAAGTAGATTCAAGGTCTCAGTACCGTCGATGCCGCTTGAGCTGGAGGCATCGACGGCCTCGACCATGTATAGAATTAGGACGTACCGATTGCTCGACGGTACCCGAGGAGTATGACCGATGTTTTCCACCGGGCACAAATAGCATTTTACCACTCTTAATACGGCCCGGGTTCTCCACGCGCTGTCCCGAAGCCATATAAACCGTACTAGAAGGATACCGCCCGTGAGGGCGGTATCCTCCTAGCCCACGTCTAGTCCCTGATCAAGCAGGGAAAGCAGGGAGTCCTAGCATGATGTCGTATCCTCAGCCCGTCCATGTCTAAACGAACATCCGTCGACTTGGAACACTCGTGATTCGGCGCATCTGATTCGATTCCGATAGTATGGTGCCGTACCCTCCGGAAGAGGGGAGACATAGGTTTCGTTGCAATCGGCGCTCGCGACGCGGGCCTGGCGATCGACCTTGGGTCGGATGGCGGGCGTTCGATAAAACGTACAGGAAAAAGGAGAATACACCCGGTCGCCATGAAACGTATCATACCTTTGCCGGACTGGCGCGCCATGCGGCGCAGATGCTCGATTTCGCATCGAACATTCGCGACGTTAATGGTGACCATTATCCGCCGGCCGAGCAGGATGCGTCGCCTCCGAATGCTGATGTCCGAC